TATCCTGTTTTACCTCAGAGAACCCTGTGGGATTTTTTTGCACCAATATTCGAACCCTCCCGCGAGACGCCCTCAAGGAAAAATGTAGCCGGTACTGAAGCGACATCACGATTCCTGAACAAAGCACGAAGGCCATGTGCACTTCAGTGTGTTTTTGCACCAGGAATGGTGACGATCTGGAACGAAAATGTAGCTGGCATTTAGGCGAGAGCATGATTCCTGAATTCGCCGACCCCCGCTTGCCGGGGGTGAGAAGGCGTGTGAGATGATTGGCTGTCCCCCGTTCCCCTTTTGCCCTCCCCAGGGTCAAATGAACCTGGCGCGACCCCAATTAGGGGAAAGATTCCTGTTGCATGGGCGCAGTGCTTGGCCTTGCTTGGCATTGCTTGGCATTGTTTGGCATTGCTTGACATTGCTTGGCATTGCGTCGCATTCCTTGGCATTGCTTGGCATTGCTTCGCATTGCCTCGCATTGCCTGGCATTACTTGGCATTGCTTCGCATTGCTTCGCATTGCTTGGCATTGCTTGGCATTGCTTGGCATTGCTTGGCATTGATTCGCATTGCTTGGACCCCGAAGAAACCAGGGAAGTTGGGGAACCTGGGGAACCAGAGGAACCCGGGGAACCCGGGGAACCCGAGGAACCCGAGGAACCCGAGGAACCCGAGGAACCCGAGGAATCCGAGGAACCCGAGAAAACCGAGAACCCGACGAACCTCCGAGAAACGGGCATAGTAACAAAAGGAAGCACCAACCTTTAACCAACCAAAATCCTCTCAAGCAAGCCTAATCGGGAAAATTCTCCTTTCAATGGAGGGGTATCCGCTCGTCGGCGCACCCTTGGAGACTTCGGAGCTTCCAAACCTGCCTTCCGTGGCCTCAAAGACGCTCCAAGACGGTCCCGAATCGCGAAACGATTGGCCCTAGACGCTTACGATGGCTCCAAAACGCCCCAAGACGCATTCGAGACGCCCCAAGAGCCTTATCAAGAGGGCCCCGAGAACAAAAAACGATACTTGTCCTTGCGTTTTTCATTGTTTCTGGGGTTATCGCCTTCTCGAGCTTCCCACGCTCCAAGACGGCCCAAGAGGCCTCGTAGACCGCCCTAAAACTGCCCAAGCGGCCCCTACGAGGGCCCCAGGACGGCCCTTGAGGGGCCCAGAGAGGGGCCCAAGACGGTCAAAGATCGCCCCAAGAGGACCCCAAGAGAGGTAAAGAGGGAGAACGCGAACCGATCATCCTATCTTTCCCCCCAAGAGGCCCCCCAAATGCCCCAAGAAGCCCCCAGGCAGCCCAAAAGAGGCCCACAATACATCCAAAGAGGAACCCGAGATGCCCAAAAGAGGCTTCAAAAACGAACCGAAAGACGCTTCAGAACTGCCTCCAAGAGGCTCCGCCGGGCCCCAAAACAGCTCCCAAGACGCCCTCAAGAGTCCTCAGATAGTGCCCAAGAAGCCCACGACGCCTCAACCGTGGACACTCCGCCTCTTCTGGGGGTCGGCGGAATGGCGTAAGCCTCTTAGATACATTGTGAAGTAATATCAGGCGAAACTGCCGCGGCACCGCCTCCGGACCGAGCGGTCTCGGGCTCCCCCATTCCCCCTGTGGGCCCCTTCTGTAATCCTCTTTCCCATCTATTCGAACCCTCTAGCGAAAATCTACTTGGGTGTAGCCAGTAGTGAGAGGAGAACACGATTCCTTAACATACTGTGAGGCCATGAACACCGGAGTGTACTCGTTGCAAGGGATCGTAGCCGCCTGGACCAAAAATGTAGCTGGCATTCAGGCGACAGCGCGATTCAAGAATAAGTTGGGAGGATATCTCAGGCGAAACCGCCGCCGCACCGCTTCCGAACCCAGCTGTCCCGGGCTCCCCGACTCTCCTGTGGGACTCTTCTGTATCCTGTTTTACCTCTGCGAGAACCCTCTAGCGAAACGCTATTAAGGGAGGATGCATCCAGGACAGGGGCGAGAGACTGTGGGACTCTTTTGCACCACGATTCGAACCCTCCAGCGAGACGCTATCAGGGAAGCAGCATGTAGCCAGCATTGAGGTGAGAGCACGATTCCTGAACATATTGTGAGGCCATGAACACCTTAATGCATGTCTGTACCAGCATGGCCGTATGGATCGAAAATATGGCTGGCATTCAGGCGACAGCGCGATTCAAGAGTCAACTTGGAAGATATGTCGGGCAAAACCGCCGCCGCACCGCCTCTGAACCCCGCGGTCTCGGGCTCCCCGACACCCCTGCGGGACTCCTCTGTACCCTGTTTCGCTTCTAAGAAAAGCCTCTTTAACGAAACACTTAGGGAAGTTCAAGGAAGTGTACAGCGGGAGCCCCATTTGAAGGGCAGCCACCACTGACCCGTGAAACTGTTGCGATGTCTACATCTAATTGACATCAATTCGGAGGATGCTTACACTCATGCAACTGCTATACGAATTGAGACCTCTGACAACAGTTTGAAGAAGTCCCCAGCGATATCATCATCCTGAAAAGGAATATCAAGCGAGAGCCCCATATTGAAAATCACCCACCACATATCAGCCCAATGTTTCTAGAAGATGTTACGACGAATGCGCACGGCCCTAAAACTAAAGCAAACATCTGTAAACCTGACGCCCTTCCTCCGTGGAACTGTTGGAAACGCCGAGCTTCAGGGTTATAAGGAAAAAAGAAATCTCAGGCGCAACGCCAAGACCGCCCTACCGACACGCCTGGTGGTGCGACGAGGAGGTCTTATTTACCGACGCCGCGAATGCTGCAAGAGGCCTGAAGTGCATTTAAGAGAACCCGCTTCTCAACCACAAAGAGCGAAGAGTGTGCAGTGCCGCGACGTGCCTCGGTTCCAGAATGCGAACAATGTGCCGCGCGGTGGAATGCCCGCACGCCGTGCCTTGCCGTGCCGCGCCGAAATCTTAAAATGCGAGCAATGTGCTGTGCCATGGCCTGCCGTGGCGCGCCGGCGTGCCAGGCCGCGCCGTGTCGTGCGGTGCCGTGCGTATATGCTACAATGCAACAAATGTGCCGTGCCGTGTCGTGTCGTACTCGGCTTCTCCCGGCAGTGACCACTCACACCAAACCCGCCCCCTTATCTTTCGACCCATCTCATGAACCGCTGCTGTTCAGGGTCTCTTTGCACGGTCCACTTTATCACGAGAAGGGATGGAAAATGAGGATGAGGAAGGTTCGGGAGGAGGTTGGGGAGGAGCAGGAAGCAAACGATGAAAAGGAGTATGAGAAGGACGACGACGACGACGACAGAGTGGGAGGAAAAAATGATGAGAAAGGAAAGAAAAAGAGAATAGAGGAGGCAAAGAGGAAGAGGGGAGGAAGAGGAAGAGGACTATACCGAACCCTAAACGCCACCCTGCGACTGCGTTGGAACCCTCATCTCAACACTTCCCCAACTTCCTCCCTCCCCCAGCCATTCCCCAGCCTCCCCTAACCCCCCCCTCCCCCGCATCCCCATCCCTCCCTCCCTCCCTCCTCCTGCCCTCTGGCTGTCACCCAGATTCCCTCCCATCATGCTTCCTTTCCCTCCCCACGTATTTTTTCCGACCCCGCCCGCCCCCCCTCCAGCAGACGGTGACGCACAAATGTTCGACAAGCCAATAGGCGAGGGCCCCCTGGAGTGATGTTTCTTCCCGAAGACATCACTCCACGCACAATGCCTGATCTCACCTTGTCGGCATGACACACACATATCTACATGTATAGATGTACAACAAAGGCAGACAACCTATATGTGTATATATGAATGCGCTGTGTATCAACGAGTACAAACATAAATTGATACAAACAAACATGCATTCAGACAGAAAGAGAGACAGACAAACAAACACACCTATATGCAGACATAAAGACAAACATGCATCCACGCATGCATGCATGCACGCGTGCACGCATACATACATACATACATACATGCACACATGCATGCATACATACATGTATGCATACATACTAACATGCACACATACACACCAACACTTTTTGGTCGGCGGGTCGAGAGCGGGCCTCTTCCAGGTAAGAGCTAGGCGGGGCGCGCAAGGCACTAACTGGGGAGACAAGGCGCGGGCGGGCGGGGCCTCAGACGGCCGGAGGGCGCGGGGTGCAGGCGGCGCCGAAGAGCTTGCACAGGAAAAGGTACGCCTTGGACAGGAGCCGGAGGCGAATTCCCGGAGGGAGAGCGAAGTGTTGCCGTCAACGGCGCGCCAGAATCACCATCCTCGAGTGCTGCATGAGGAGGGCCGTGACCAGGTCGGCGCCCGTGAGGTCGAGGAATACTAGGTAGGCGAAGTGCACCAGGTGCCACAAACTGGTAAGGAGAGGCCCAGGAGATGAGGACGACCACGAAGGCGATGCGCAACGTTGTGCCACCGGGTGGTCGGTAGCGGCCTGGGGTGGTAGTCCAATCCACGTCCAGGTAGCAGCCAAGAGGTTCGGCCTGAAGGGTTTCACACATACACACACATACATACATACATAGATACATACATACATATATACATGCATGCATGCATGCACACATACCTACACACATACATACATATATGCATACATACATGAATCCATACATACATACATACATGCATGCATGCATACATGCATACATCTATACACACCTACATATAGTATACATGTATGCATACGTACATACATGCATACATACATACACGCACATATATACATACATGCATGCATGCATACGCGCATGCATACCTACATACCGATCTATATATAATACGAATATAACTAGACATGCATGTATGCATACATACATGCATACATGCATACAAACATGCAGGAATATATACATGCATGCATGCATACATACGTACATACAGTCATACATACATGTGTATGTATCTAACAGCCATGTGTCCACTTACTATCATGCTCGCCTGATTATGATGCTAAACCCCGCTTGTGCCTTTCCCTCCCTTCCCCTCTCTTCCTGCCGCCCTCGGACTTCGGCAAACCCACGCGATCCTTCGCCGTCAGCTTCGCCATCAGCTCTTTACACTTTCCTCTGGTGCCGTTGACCTCTATTATGCGGTCATTTCTGCGCACCGCGGCGTCCGGGTGAGACTCGTTCCATTTCTCCACGCACCCAGCAGCCACTACCTCCGCGTCGCTAGATTTCTAGACAAGGGGGAGAAGCAACTGCAGCTTGAGGCACCCGTCCTCTTCCACCAGTCTACCGCCTCCTCTTCCTCCTCCTCCGCCTCCGCCATTTCTGCCTCCTGCTCTTTTCTCTGACTCTCTCCTCCCGCCTCATTCCTCCCAGAGGCCGCCATCTCGGAGCAATTAGTCTAGAGCGAAACGAGCGTAAGTACGAAGACACCTCTGGCCTGGGGTCGAAACATCCGCGTTCGCGGGCGCCGAAGAAGGGGCCCTAGGAAGAGGGGGGGGGGTTAGCGCATCATGGCCCGAGGCATGTGCGCGGACAAGGGGGGCAATGGGGCGAACTGCAAGAAGAAATCATAAGAGGAGATGGCCACCTGGGGCAGCAAAACGCCTTCCTCGACACCATTGGCGTGCTCCTCGGGGCTTGAGGCCCGGAAGTTCTCTCTGCAACGTTGGCTACTTCGTTAGGAGGTTCTTCGAGATTTGAAGTCGCTCCTCCCTCCTCCTCCTCGTCCTCCTCCTCCTCCTCATCCTTCTTCTTAGTATTATCATTACTGCTATTACCACTTTCGCTCATATTACTGCTATTATTATTATGAATCGTATTACTGCTATTCGTCATTAATATGTTTTCTTAGTAGATTCCCCTTATTGTTCTTATTAAGTTCATTCCTCCTCGAATTATTATTATTATGATTATTCTGAGTCTTCTTCGTGTTTTTCATTTTCCTCCTCCTCCTCCTCCTCTTCCTCCTCCCACTCCTCCTCCTCCTCCACTTATTCCTCCTCGTGTAAGGGCGAGATAACGAGAACCCATCTTCAGCATCATCATCAGCAGCAGCAACATCCTCGCCATCGTCACCTTAAGTATCATCATCATCCTCATTACCATCGCATCATCAGCAGCAGCATAAGCATAAGCATCATCATCAACAACACCATCATCATCACCATCATCATCACCATCACCATCACCATCATCATCATCATCAGCATCATCGCCGTCGAGGTCGTCGTCGTCGAGGTCGCCGTCGTCAGCGTCGTCGTCATCACCATCGTCATCAGGCTCCTCATACCACCACCACCACCACCACCACCATCACAATCATTATCATCAAAATCGTAAGCGCGATCGTGCAGTAAGTGTCATCATCACTATCACCACCATCACCATCACCATCACCATCACCATCATCATCATCATCATCATCATCATCAATATCACCATCATCATCAACATCATCAGCATCATCATCATCATCAGTATCATCATCGCAGTCGAGGTCGTCGTCAACGTCGAGGTCGGCGTCGTCGGCGTCTTCGTCATCACCATCGAGGTCAGGCTCCTCATACCACCACCACCACCACCATCACAAGCATCATCATCAAAATCGTAAGCACGATTGTGCAGTAAGTGTCAGCATCATCATCACCACCATCACCATCACCATCACCATCACAATCACCATCTCCATCCCGATAAGCATCATTACCGTCATCGAGACAATCATCATCATGATGATCATCATCACCCTCATCGTCATCAGCATCGTCATCATTATCATTATCATCATCAGCATAATCATGATCATCTTCATCGTTATCATCTCCAATCGTTGTCATCATCATCAGCATCAGCATCATCATCATCATCATGATCATCCTCATCATCCTCATCATCATCAGCATCATCATCACCATCGTCATCATCAGCATCAGCATCATCAGCATCATCAGCATCATCATCAGCATAATCATGATCAGAATCGTCATCATCGCCATCATAGTCATCATCATCATCATCATCATCATCATCATCGAGACACTCATCATCATGATCATCATCATCATCAGCAGCAGCATCAGGACCATCATCATCATCATCATCATCATCGTCATCAGCAGAGTCATCATCATCGTCATCATTATCATCATCAATTGTTACATCGTTATCAGCATCAATCGTTATCATCATCATCATCATCATCATCACCATTGTCATCCTCACAATCACCAGCATCATCCTTATCATCAGCATCATCATCAGCATCATCATCACCACCGTCAGCAGCATAATAATAATAATAATCATCATCATCATCGTCATCATCATCATCAGCATCATGGTCATCATCGCCACCATCGTCATCGCCATCATCATCATCATCATCATCATCATCATCATCATCATCAGCAGCATCACCATACTCATCCTCCGCCTCATCATCGTCATTACCAGGAAATTCACACGAATAACCACATTCACCATCACCATGGTAATCACCGTCACCATCATCGTCATCGTCACCAGCAGAAACATAGTCGTCGTCATCAGCATCATCAGCAGCAGCATCATCATCCT